TCTTCTGTAGATGCATATATAGATCATCTTATAGAATTGTATGCCTAAATGATTTTCAAAATTCAATTTATATTACGATCAACGAATTTTCAACAAAAACATTTTTCGATATTGTTAGTCCCAAAATTTCAAATCCCGTGTGTAATGAATTTCTAAAACTAAACCAATCTTAATTGGAAGAGGCCAATAGTGTATTTAGACTGTGGATCTTGTAATAGCAACATAGCATCAGCCTAGGGTGGGTATCGATCGACTCAGTATGATCAAAACCAGACCAAAATAACCCTTTTTTCTTAATCGAAGTTCGAACAAAATATCATATTGGTTAGATTCGAGTTTTACCAAATAATTATGCGAATATTACAATAAAAAATCAACAAGATTTCACGAACCGCTACGATCCGTCGAAGTGGTATTTTGTTTTGGAGATACCATTTAATAGGGGTAGGTTGCAACTAAACCGAATTGGACGCCATTTACTTCATTTCATAAATGGGTTGGCCTAATAACATGACCCACATCTCTAACTAGTTTAATTCAAACAGTGGGAACCCACCTTCAACATGTTCTTTTCCCAAAGATAAGTTTGGTTAATTGTGGGATATCTTCCACGTTATATAGAATTATGGGGTATTTATTTATTTAATTATCATCTGTATTTAATCTATTTAATGCAATTAAAATATCAATAAACTTTTGAAGTGATGAAAATACATGATAATTACATTAGTCACGATCAAGATTGAAGAGTAGTAGGGCCTCCCCCGTCCTTTGAACCCCACCAAGTAAGCAATTTGTGTGTACCAAAGTTTCACCCAATTTCACAGCTGTATATACAAGTTGAGTTAGGGTTGGCTTATACCAATTTTTTAGTTGAATTGTACTTTTCCATTCTTTAAAATTGATATATTGGCAAATTTCATACATGTAGCAAGTTGTTATAAATAAATGTTAGAAACATGATCACTATGATACATAGTGTCTACTTTGAGTCAAGTCCGTACAAATCTATTTTTGAATATTCTCTTCAAAAGGTCTCGTACTAATCTGTTTGGTTGATATTAATATACAAGAGTCGTCTCCCTTTGTATTTTTGATGTAGTACTTGGGTTGTACCCTAACAACCCTCTCCTGAAAAGTGAAAACAAGGAACATGAACTTCATGTCATCACTTGAGCGACTACCTTGATCTGACAGACACCTTATATCACTGACTTAACTAGACACACGGATTTACCATACATAAATCTCCCTTTGATCTGCCAGAAAAATGTGAATCTCCCTTGATCCGCTAGACAAACGTAGATCTCCACTTGATCCGCCAAACAGTCACAATCTCAATTTTTTGAGGTCATTGAATGAGAGTCCATCGAACTGTCTTCCACCTCCCTGGATCGAATATGAATCACTCTATTATACCACTTGTTGAAACCAGATAGCTCCATTCGTACGATATTGTTTGCTTTGGGACAAACCCGCACGAATTCACGTTTGGGTATTCTCCCTAAAAGTTTTTGTACTAATGAGCTTGTTGGACACTAATGCACACAAGTTCTTTCTCTTGTAATTTCGATGCGACACTTTCCTAACAATAAAAATACACTCTCGCTATAAAAACACTAAGGATAAATTTATCGTCATAAAGTCTTGATTATGGATATCAGCGTATTCGAATAAATATACAGTAAGATTATGTGTTCTGGTAAACAGAAAGGAAAATATGTGCATTTACTTGAAACCGTGGATATAATATCTCATAAAATGATAAAATTACAATACATCGTTTTTAAATGTAATATATATATATATGGTGGCTGCTATCGTACCTTGGGTAAAATCTAGGGTACGACATACCATGAGTAAAAAAATGCTATCTAGACCTCGAATTAACCGAATTTTTGGACATGATACTATACTCTAACCCTTGATGATTGAAACCTAGGTCTTAGATTTCTAAATCAAAGAGCCTAATCCCTAAGATTGTGCCTGTAATTTGTTGCATATATTTCGACAAATCATAGCCGTTGATTTTTGTTTCTAATTAAATTGATCTTAGTGTATGAGATTTATAAAACTAAGACCTAGATTTTAATCCTTAAGGGTTTGGGAATAATATCAGACGCCAAACTATGCTCAATTCGAGGTCTAGATATCATTTTTTTACTCAAGGTATGTTGTACCCTTGATTTTACTCAAGGTACGATAGAATCACCCATATATATATATGGGGAGTTCTACGGTACCCAGGGTGAAATCCGGGGTACCGCATACCTTGAGTAAGAAAGCGCTATCCAGAACTTGAATTGACTGATCTTTCGGACATGGTACTATAATCTAACTCTTAAAGATCAAAATCTAGGTCTTAATTCTCTAAATCTTGTACCCCGAGATCAATTTAATTAGAATTAATAATCGACGGTTATGATTCGTCCAAATATAGGCAAAAAACAATGCACCATCTTAGGGTTTATAGTTTATGATTTAGATAATTAGGACCTAGGGTTCACTCATTAAGGGTTATGGTATAGTATCATGCCCAAAAATCCTGCTAATTCGAGATCTAGATAGCGTTTTTATACTCAAGGTATGCGGTACCCCGGATTTCACCCAGGGTACCGTAGAAGGCACCATATATATATATATTATGTATTACCGGTACATGAATTATGGATCTAAATTAAGGGGGAAATATTATTATCCTATTCCAGAAAGCTCTTTACAAATGAAGCCAGACAACTAGGTACAAATTAATGCCAAAAGCTTTTTACATATGGTGAAAAGTAAAAATCCAAAACTTATATATCGCCCATTTGGTTGGGGTGAAAACTAGGCAGGCAGGAATGATTTTTCATATTAATTTACATTCCTTGAATAAACTTTTCCAAAACGAATGTTCATTCCTATTTACCAAACAAATATATAATTATCTAAAATGATTACCTTTTTATGCTAATTATCTAAACTGATTACATGGATAAACAAAGATGATGAGAAGAGGTGATGAATTAGATCAAAAGGCAAAAAGCAAAAAAAGAAAGGCAATTACCTATATAATTTTGAGATAAACGTCAAGGTTTAGCTTCAATGATTAAAAGAGGTTGAATGCGATGGATGATAGGGGTAGTCTTGTAATTTTAACCTTCTTTGAAATGGCTCTTCATCCCTCCCTTACCCTTTCACCAGGCCGCAACGGCCGTTGAATTCCCATGGCCAAAAAATAAAATAAAATACAAACAATAGATTATTACATGATTAAGTAAATCACACTCAATTACTTTTCTTACCGCCCTAACTTGTACTCATACATTAGAACGATCCCAAGGAAAAATATTCTACATAATTGGTAGCAAACAAAATACAACATGTTGATAACAAATTGTGCGAATACAAATAAAAGAGTTGACGATTATTTTCTTGGAGACACAAGCTCACGGTGAATGTGAATCCTATTGTACCTTATGGAATAACATGAGTGAGAATACTATCTCTTCTCAAATGAAAGCATCCATTGAATGAATGGAAACACAAATACTATCTCCTTATAAGTGATCAGTCCATTTACCGTAGCTCCTCGTAAATTTAAAATTTCTAACTTTTTAGGGGTCATTTGGATGAATTCATTTTGATGAGATAGTCCGACTCAATTGTCTATGCAGAACAAAATAGAGCAGCCAAACATGCTAATTTTTAATTAACTAGGAGTAGATCATTTTAATCTTATAAAAAGTAAGAAACAGCTTGAATCAACTTCTACTAACACTTCCTTATCAAAAAAAAACTTCTACTAACACTATCTTGAAACCATGTAAGATCCTGGAAATTCAGCTCAAATGACCACCCTCCCACTGTAAATTTTTTCTTACTGCAGTTCATGAGAAATTAATCCAGAAAAGAAAAGTGGGGAAAAGTAAAGAAGTGAGAAAAGGGGGAAAAAAGGCTGACCTACAAGGGGGCCGGCTTTTAACTAAATTTAGCTGGACAGACAAAAACCGACTAATTATCACCGTCGTCCCTTTGTGCAGCTGTTGATGAACTCCCTGTAATAATAATTATTAGCCTCCCTGTAATTGCTTCTTTTTCTGTTTTTATTCTTCTTTTTTCCCGTCGATATATTATTATTATTATTTAATTTTTTAGGTGTATATATCTTTCTGTGCCATCCCACCTTTATTATTGCCGGGGAGAAAACCCAGGTGCCACTTCCCCCTCCTTTTTTAACCACCCGACTCTACTCACCCTACCCAAGGAAAAATATATAATATATGAAGTTAATTATTCGGTATAGCTTGTGTTCACATTTCCCAATAATCATAAGTTTACCTAAGTAGTATATATGTAAATTGTCAAAAAATTTCTGATCAATTTATTGCCAGCTTTGAATTTAATATTTACATATCGAGTGAATTATTTTTCATTTCTCATTAATGTGATTGTCCCAATACATAGTTTATAAAAATTTTAATGTATCTTGAAAAAAAACATCTACTTTTGTCACAAGATACTTCCAGAATACATTACATATACTGTATTGTTACCTCAGTGGAACACTGAATTCTGAAGTTAAACGTATATTCTTGTAACTTTGGGTATATGAGAAATCTATGCTTGTTAGTGATGGGCGAAGAAAAGAAAACAAAAGTGGAAAACCGTAAAATCTAAACTCAAAATAAATAAAAAGAACCGGAAAAGATTCCACAGCAGCTATCATAAGAGAGATAAAAGTAAGAGGTAGAGGTAGAGTGGTAGGGAGAGGAGAGGGAAAAAGAATTATTAATAAATAGAATAAAAGGAATAAACAAGTAAGTACCCAAATGCAAGTAACATTTTATCTCAATAAAAAAGTAAAAAAAGAAAAAGAAAACAAACTTCTTGAGATCGACAAGCGGATCCCCACCGAATTAAATTATTAGTACAAAAAAAAAAAAGTATTATTAAGACAAGAAATAAAAAAATATAATTCACCTCCCATTTCTTTCTCTCTTCATATAAACCTCTCCCCACCCGAATTTAACCCTCCCTCTTTTTTTTTTCCCTGGACCACTTTTTTTTTCATTTTCCTCTCTTCCTCCTCTTCTCAATTTCCTCAATTTTCTTCTACTGTTTACTTCAAAATTCCAGGCTGGGGGAAAAGGCGAGTGCTCCGTCTCCGTCTCCGTCTCTCCTTCAATGCTAGGAGACACCGCTACTGTTTCCTCCTCCGTTAATCCTGGCGGTGGCGGTGGCGGTGCCGCCACTAATTCTCATCACCACCACCAACAACACCAGCACAACCTCCACCAGCAGCAGCAAAATCAATCGCATCACAGTCCGAATCCCGCCGCAATTGGCGGCGGCGGACTGTTTCAAGAAGGAATCAGTACTTCCGAAGCTGGAGGCGGTGGAGCGGGACATGTCGGTTCGAGTTCCGGCGGCGAGGAAGATCGGCTCGGCGGCGGTGGAAGCGGTAGCTTCGGCGGGAACCGATGGCCGCGGCAGGAGACTGTGGCGCTGCTCAAAATTCGAACGGATATGGACGCCACCTTCCGCGATGCCAGTGTGAAAGGGCCTCTCTGGGATGAAGTCTCCAGGTAATTCACCATTTTCATGAGTTCAAATTGAAATTGATTTGAATTTCTTCTTCTCCTCCTCCTTTCTTGTTCATGGTTCTTCAGTTTTGGTAAAACTGGGTAGCTTCCCCAAAGGAGATCTGTTCTCTTTTCATTCCATTTCTGGCTAATTTTGTTTCCAGACCAAAAATTAATATATATAATGATTTTGATGAATAATATTAATATGATTAAAATATTAGCTTCTTCAAAGGCGCTCCTCCTCCACTTTTTCCTTCCATGTCCATTTCCACTTCAATCCTACTTTCATTTATGTCAATTGGTATTATTCATTGGGTGAAATCATCATCTTCTTCCTTTCTGCTTCTTCTTCTTATGGAATTGGTTTCAATAATGGGATGCGTCAGATTTCCCCCCTTTTTAGCTATGCTTTGTGATTACTGGCAAATCGCTTTGATGTTGCCTGGTAATCTGCCTCTTAGTTCCATAGATTCTACCTTTTCTTTTATCTTCTTTCTTTCAATCTCAGATTTGGTTAATTGGTTCTGGGTCTAACTTCTAAGCATGTACTTAGAGTGGGAGGTAATCATGATTAGTGGTGTTCATTAAAAAAATTGATTAAATCTCAACGGAACTCCCCATTCCCATGTTCATCTAGTTCGCATTCACCCGAATTGTTCTTATTCTTTAATCATGCGTATTTCATGTCAGCTGTGAAAGTGAGCTGATGAGCTCAGCTGTCAGTAGGCAGCGGTGCTTGTTTTACGGCTGAACTCGTGATTAGATAAATAAGAAAAGTACGGGAAAATGGAGTCACGAAGGAAAATTTATTTAATAGTAGCTAGTAATTTAGTTTAGTTGAATTTTGGTTTGTTGTTTTGTAATAATAATAATAATTTGTGACCGACGAGTGTGTAATTATGTATTTATTACGGTGGGATTTTAATTATGATTACCAGGAAGTTGGCCGAGCTTGGATATCATCGAAGCGCCAAGAAATGCAAAGAGAAGTTCGAGAATGTGTACAAGTACCACAAGCGCACCAAGGATGTCCGTACGAGCAAACAGGAAGGTAAAAATTATCGCTTCTTCGAGCAATTAGCGGCCTTCGAATCCCAGCCTCCCGCCGGAGCCACTCCCACTCCTCCTCCGCCGCATCCACAACCGTCGCAGCCGGCCGCAACGACAATGCCAGCCTTCAATCCACCTCCTCCACCGCAGGCTCAGCCCGCGGCCTTCGTCACCATGGCTCATCACATTACAACTGTTCCATCGACAACTGTTCCTCCGCCGGTGGTTGCGCCACCAATTACGATCACAGCTCCTTCCTATCCGCCGGCTCCACAACCGACGATCCAGCCTCTCTATCCTCCTTCTTTCTCCGCCTTTTCAACAGATCTGATGTCGAATTCGCCCTCCTCTTCGTCCTCGACATCGTCCGACGTGGAGCTCCACCCCGGCGGCCGGCACAAGCGGAAGTGGAAGGACTTCTTCGAGCGGCTGATGACGGAAGTGGTCCACAAGCAGGAAGAGATGCAGCGGAAGTTTCTAGAAGCCATCGAGAAGCGCGAGCACGAACGAATGGCGCGTGAGGAGTCGTGGCGAATGCAAGAAATGGCCCGGATAAATCGGGAGCGCGAGATCCTTGCTCAGGAGCGATCCATCGCCGCCGCCAAAGATGCCGCCGTGATGTCGTTCCTCCAGAAGCTCTCCGACCAGCAGAACCCCGGCGCTCCACCAGTTCACCTCCCCAATCAAGCCGTCCAAATCGCTCCCATTCCTCCACCACCGTCGCACCAACCTCCTCCGCAACCACCACCGGCGCCGTCTGTAGTCGCAGCTCCGCCGCAGCCAACACCGCAATCAACGCCGAATAAAGTACAATCAGCCCCACCACCAGCAGCGGCGACTCCGACGCCAGTACAGCAACCTCAATTAAAACATCCGGTAAGTCAAAGTCAAAGTCAAAATCAATCGGAGATGGTGAGAGCGGACAATGTGGATCAGAACTTCCTGCCGGCGAGCTCGTCGCGGTGGCCGAAGGTGGAAGTGGAAGCGCTGATCTCGCTGAGAAGGAACCTGGACTCCAAGTACCAGGAGAATGGGCCTAAAGGCCCACTGTGGGAGGAGATCTCGGCCGGGATGAAGAGACTGGGCTACAACCGGAACCCGAAGCGGTGCAAAGAGAAGTGGGAAAACATCAACAAGTACTTCAAGAAGGTGAAGGAGAGCAACAAGAAGCGTCCCGAGGATTCCAAGACCTGTCCGTACTTCCACCAGCTGGACGCACTTTACAGGGAGAAGCAGAATCTGGAAGGCGGTGGCTCCTCGTCCGCCGCCGGCGGCGGCGGAGGCGGCGGTCAGTTCAATTCGGTGCCTCTCATGGTCCAGCCGGAGCAGCAGTGGCCGCCTCAGGCGCTTCCACCTCCTCCGGTGCCTCCGCCGCAGCAGCAGCAGCAGAAGGATACGGTGATGGAGGAAGCGGAGAGCGAGGATCACGGTGACGACGAGGATGAAGATGATTATGATGATGAGGAGGATGATGACGTGGCAGGCGAGTACGAACTTGTCTCGAACAAGCCGCATTCAATGAACCCCGGCGGCTGAGGATTAAAGAGAAGAGATTGTGCTTTGATGAATGGAGCAGTGACTCTCCGCCGGACTCGGCCGCGAGTTGCGGCGGGCCTGGCGGTGGAGGAAGGGAGCAAATCGGCATGCGAGAAACTCGGAAGAACTGAGAGCTGAGCTGGGCGTCGAGGGAGGGGAGGAAGCACATATAGCTTTTGGGTTTTTTTTTTCGAAATTTTATGTTTAATTAAATGTTTTGGATTTCTATTTTTTTCTGTTGTTATAATTTATTTATTTTTTTCCCAGATAAATAAGAGAGGGAGAGAGCACAGAATTAAGAGGTGAGGTCCCAGAAAAAAATGAAAGACTGTACTGTGATGAATAAGGGAGGAAAAGAGAGAGAAAATGGGGAGGGTAAGTGGTGTTGTATTTTTGTTAAAGTAGAAACGAATGGTCATATTTGTAAGAAAAAAGGAATTTGTATGGTTCGTTATGGATGATTTTTATACACAAGAATTACATTACTGCTGTAAAAGCCTTTTCCTTTTGGGGTCTGAGTTCTGACTCTCAAGTGCACAGTGTTACTGTTTGTTTTTTTTAAATTTCGGTTAGAAAACATTACTTCTCAATTTTTTTTTAAATATAACCAATTATTACTGATCTTCTTTTTTTTATAGAAGGGGTGAAATGGGGTAAACGGGGGTAATAATAATAGTATGAATATTACCACATTCACATGCAAATGCAGAAGAGAAGCAGACTATGGCCGCTCATTTTCTTTGGGGTCCCTCGCTTTCCTCCACTGTTGTAATTTGTAAATGCAAGAAGGGAATCTTCTTCTTCTTCATTCTCTTTCTTTTTTTACTGCAACAACTTGGATCGTACTATTGATCATCGTCATCCTCCACATGGTCAATTTGTTTATACCGTTTGAATGTTGAACATACAAGGCTGACTGATTTTCCTAGGATGGCAATTTCAACCTGATCCGTTTTACCCGATCTGTTTGACCTGTTTTGGGCGGGTCCGACCCGCCCCCGCAGGGCGGGGCAGACATGGGTAGTCTCATCGACCCGACATTCCCTGACCCGCCCCATTTTCGATCCGTTCTTGTCTAAATTACATGTAATCTTAGTCAAATTACTTAGAATTTTCCTTTTATTGCATCATATTTTAGCTATATTAAAGTTGTAAATTAGTAAAAACCTCAATTTCTCCAATAATTTAACTACAATTGTCATAATATTGTTTGTTTTCTTAATCTTATAATAAAAATAACGAATATTTCTAATGTTTTCATATAAATTGCATACCCATTGGATCGACCTGCCCCAACCCGCGACCCGTGATCAATTACCAGACTTGGACCCGACCTGCCACGGAGCGGGTCTGGATACCAAGAAACCCGCCCCGGACCTGCCCATTGCCATTCCTGGATTTCCCCTATTTACGTGTTCGCGCTTATCACATGTAATAGTTAAGCTGATTACTTTTGCAAATTAAGAAACTTAGCTCACAAATTATTACCTTACTAAATCACACAATGCGGGATTCTCAAAGGGGAACGGATCAGGTTAGTAACCTTATGGTGAGTAACTATGAGTAACCCGCCCATATCAGCATGACATCAGCATCCTCTCTCTTTTGGAAAGCCTTTAATTTTCCCCTCCTTGATCTTTGACGGACGATTTCTCACTCGTTTTAAGTCGAATTTTTTTTTTTTTTGCACAGTTAGATCAGATTAATTGTGCTCTTCAAAATGATATCCACTTTGATATATTTTTCGAACAAAAAAAAATTGAGCTATTTTTTACCAGTCAATACCATATGGTATTGACTGGTATTGAAATAAGAGCATACGTATGGTTTGAAAAGCGTACCATGGTGGTATGACACAAACCAAAACTGTAGGATGGTTGAATACATGATAGTAGAAGTATATTAATTGTCATTTACGACTTTTAACATTGTATACCATAAGATACCACCCCGTACCAAGGTGGTATTGTGTGGTATTTTTTGGTCTTGTAATTTGTTCACCCAGAAATTTGTAGATTCAATAGATCATGATGAACTCGTCCCTACTGTGCAAACGTTTTAAAAAACGAATTAAAAACGAAGAAGATACCATATGGTATGTAGTTGGTACCGAGAGGCCAGAATTTTTTTTCCCTCCAAAATATTGAAAATTGTCTCATTTTGTAGAGCACGATGAACTCGTTCCATCTGTGCAAAAAACATTAAAATCCGAGTTAAAACAAAAAAGATATGAGTCAATTAAGAAAGCTAGTGAAAATAAAAATGACCTTTAATTCTCCATCTTTAGATTTGGATTTTCTAAATGAAGGGTCCAGATTTGGTTATTGATAGGTGCATAACTCATGGTTATGCACCCTAACTTAAGCCTTCTCAAAGCGTCCCCTGTAATTGTAAATTAGTAGCTTTGTTGTGCATCATTTTCAAGTACTCTTACAGGGAGTAGTGCTTTAACCCGACGTACTCCGTACTCAAAATTCGGATTATTAAAACCTTTTGGCTGGCTGGAGAGTATAGTGCAGAGTTTTAGGGAAAAAACAGCACATAATAATGAATAATGGCTTATTATACAGCTAAAGTAAAATCATAATATTTAATAAACAAATTAAAATTACTGTAAAGCTTTCTCTCTCATTCCCCCCTCTTGTTATTTTTTCTGTTCGTGTTTATTAGTTTACTTGTAAAAGGATTCGCATTTTAGTATAAAAATTAGTGTTTATGAAAGCATATTCGTACCGACAGGCGACAGTTCCATATTTAATTTTTTTTACTGAATTTCAAGTTGATAGGTGGTTTTAAAGATATTAAACGATTCAACTATGGTTAAACTCCTATTTTAGTATAAAATTTCATATCACCAATTTTTCTGCTACAACTTCCGATAAATTTTACAATTCCTGTGCAGACATAAAACGAGGAGGGCCATGACCCTCTAGAATGTAGAGGCATGTGACGCTTCACGAAGAGGGCCAAGATTCGAAACACATGATCTCTCGTCAACCATTCTCAATTAGAAGTGCCCTTAATTTCATTTTTAATTAACTATTATACTAATTTATTCATTTTCGTCCTTCGAGGCCATCCGTTACATTCTCCCTATCTCTGATTGAAATAAAATTATTTTTCCAAACTTGCTATGATTTGGTGGAATTTTTTTTGTAGATATTGAATAAGTACAACTTTAATTTTGGACGGATCATATGCACCATTGTCATTTGTACGTGTAAATCCCCGACATATGAATATGCCAATACACAAAGTATAAATCATACATAAAATATTTCAAAGGTAAAATTCTCATTTAAATACGTATTATTTTCCATACCCGATTAACGATTATACCTAATATATCATTTTATCTCCCGATCCAGGGTGGGTCCCGGGACCCACTCTCTAACCTTCTCCCTCTGTCCCTGGTGGTAGAGTATTATATCACTAACGACAAAGTCCCAAAAGGGCCATAGACATGAGTAAGAAGCCCATGGCCATGAGGCAAGAGGACCGCAACCTCTTTGTGAGACACCACAAGCTCATCAATAGACTAACATGACACAATACCTAGAAAAAGACCAGACGGGACAAGCTACATTTCAAGACCCACGACAAGTCTAAGATAAGCATCTAGGAAGTTGAAGGAGGAGCCACTACTCCGAAGAAAATGGAGCAGTTCTTGATTGCAGTTATCCCACAGATGGTTAAGTATTTTTAGTGACTAAACGTAAACTTTTTTAGTAATCCCGGTGACCAACCTTGCAATTTACTCGGAAAAAGAAACTACAAATAAGAGTCGCGAAACCAAAACTTAGAGCGAGGGGCTAAAAATGACTTACTGCAACAACTAGATAAATTTTCTCACACACAAATTAGAACCCTAAACAACAAAAAGAGGAAATCATAACTTCTCCTAAATTACATGTAGTTCCGCCACAGACTACGAGTCGAGGTAAATAACTTGATTCCAAACAAGTGAAAGCACACCACTGTAAAAACTATGAGAGGGAGAGAGTAGGAAAAGGGAAAGGTAAGGAAGTAGACAAAAGGTGAAGTGATTCACATGGGTGGGCATGTGATGTGAATGTACACTTACATCTTCTTGTCTACCATGTGAAATGCCCACTTCTCCTCTAAGTTAAGTTTTAACCCTTTCTTCACCCCATTTACCTCTGGCACCAGCTAAGCAAAGCAACCCACCAACTGGATGGAGACGACGACGACGACGATTCTTTTCTTTCATTCCCCCTTTACTTTTCAATAATGATAATAAGAAAAGGAGAACGTCTCTTCATCCTTTGTTTCCCCTTTGCTCCTTAACACATATTTCTTTAGTTCTTTGGTGAAAGATTCTATTTAGTGAACAAAAAGAAAAACATCAATAATGCATATAATCATCTTATGGAAAGGTTTACACCACAATGCATGTTTGTGTTTGTGGGGGGTTGCATATACATCACACATTCTCAAAGGAGCACAAACACACACACACACAACAAGGAGAATTTTTTAGGCTTTTCTTAGCTTTTTCTGTTCCTCTCTTTAATACCCCTATGGATGGAGAGCAAAATATTTCAAAAAAGAAAACCTAAGAAAATCATTGATTTGCCCATGCTTGCAAATCTTTCTTTCTTGTACCATATATTTTTTTACCGTCACCAAATTACATTATTTTGGATGTGGATTATTCTGTAGATAACAACACACGCGTTTAGTAGTATTTTCGGTGTTAGAAAATAATTGAACTGTAAATAAAAGGTAAATTGAGATGCATACGAAAAACAAAACATTTCGTAGTAATCAGAGTACAATTGATCTGATAGACGTACATAACCAAATAAAAATCTTATAATTAATAACATGAACTCATTCTAGATCTCATACAAATCATCATTACTATACAAATCATCATTACTACATGTCCAACAGTTGAGAGAAGCATTAAAAGTTGAAAGATGGGAAAAACGAAACTGAAACTTTGTTGGACTTCCAATCGATGTTACTTCAAATTGTAACTTCATATTACATGCTGTAGGCCACAACATTGCCGTACCAAACAAAACAACCGGAAAAAAACCTACAAAGTCACTAATTTGTACGAAATTATATAAAGTCATTTTCGGCACCTTTGTACGTTTGATATTTTGGCTCCCTTTTACGCCAATCACATAGCTAGATATATTTGGGGGGAGATGGAGATATACATTTTGAAGGGCAGAAGAATGCGCCACTTACATTAAATATCAAAAGTCATTACAATCATCACTAACCTTCCATTAGTGATGATTATGGTCTTCAAATAGGGTTAAATTGAAGGCCAAGGCCCCCTAATTATAATCATACATGTTTCCTTCCTTCCTTCCTTCTTTGCCTTCTATAATCCCTTTAGTCTTCT